GGGGGGGTGGGGGGGGGGGGGGGGGGGGGGGGGGGGCAGATGGTCTTCTCTGTGTGCGCTGAGGGAGGGGCGTTGGGGGTTGTATGCCTTATAGCCGCAGGGTGTGAGCTGGCGATGGGGGGGGCATGTCCATACTTGCATATGCCAGTGGCAGAAACCCTGGACTAGGAGGAGCCCGTGTCACCTACCTCCTGGAGGCCACCGTGCCAGAGCACGAACGGTGCAAGCGAGCCAGGGCAACCACGCTCGAATGGAATGCACCTCCTCCCGGTGCCGCGTGCTCTCACAGCTGCCTGACGGGTGCAGCCAGCCAGCCCCCCACCTCACCCCCTTCTCTCCCCCCTTCCCCTCGCAGCTGACGTGCCTGTGCGACAGCGGCTGGGACAAGCTGGAGAACTGCCGCAGCCCCGGCGCGCCCCTCACCCCGTTGCCCTTCACCTGCCCCTGGGACCAGGTGTTCCTCGTGGAGCGCCTGACCGAGCCGCACGAGAAGAAGGTCAACATGACGTACCGGGAGTACTCCTTCCTGGACAACCCCAGGACCCCCAACGAAACGGAGGTGGGGCTGGGGACATTCCGTGTGTGTGTATGTGTTGGGAGGTGGGGAGCTGTGGGAATTGGGCATCTGCTTCCGCGGTGGGAGCATGCCATCCACTGCCTGCAGCAACTGGCAACACCTGCAGCAGGGTTTACGAGCTTGAGGGACAGCCAGATGATGTGATCTGCAGCCGCGGTCCTCGGAACCCTGCGATGCACCGCTCCCAAGCCTTGCCTGGCGGCGCAGGCGGGGCCACGCTCACAGCAGAAACACACAGCCAGCGCCTCGCCCCCCCCCCCCCCCCCGCCGCTCCCCACCTCCTCACATTTCCCCCCCTTGTCCTTTCCTTCCTTCCAGCACGACCTCATTCTGCTGTCAATGGAGGGCACGGCCAACACGGCCTTCCGCACACACGACCCCACCATCGTCTGGCTCCCCCCCAAGACCGGCCTGGCAGACCTGCGCGACCGTGTGGCCCGCCACTCGGGCGTGCGCCGGCTGCACGTGCGCGACCCTCAGGCGGCCTGGGCGGACTGGGAGCGGCCGGAGGACGGCAAGTCCTTCGACCTGCGCTTCATCGGCGCGCTGGCGCCCTGGGCGGGGCCCTTTGATGATGAGGAGAAGACCAAGCGCTGGCTTGATGGTGTGCTGCGGCGGAAAAGGAAGCGTGAAAAGTGGACCTGAGGCCCTTTGGGTGTCACGGCGGGGGAGGGGCGGGCACCGCTGGTCGGTGCAGGAGCGATACTTGCGAGCGGCTGGTTGGCGGCGCCCTGGAGCGATGACAGCTTGCGGTGAGGTCGGGCCTGGTGTGGGCGCGATGCCATCATTCTGTACCAAGCCAAAGCCCAAGCCGGAGTGGCAGGTTCGATAAGCAGCAGTCTCCCCCCCGCGGCCCTTCCTCGTCAAATTCACACATCTGTCCCATCAAGGCTTGCACCCAGGAATACGCAGCCGATCACCAGCGTCGATGCACCTCGCCAACGCCACAGCGTGCTGCAAATCAGGCTCCATTGCCCGATTTCTCATGAATCTCATCCTCGGATTGCTCACTGGTACACAGCGTGCCACATGCAGTATTTGTAAAGCAGCGTTGTGCAAGCAGAGAGGGAATTCGTTCAGCGGTGCGTCGCTTCGGGGGCTGCCCAGTGGATCACGTGCATGTGCGATGGGCTGCCCTCGCCTCGCACCACCATGCCTCACGCCCGGCCCTCCTCCGCCGCTCCGTCCTCCGCCGCCCTTTCCTCTCCGCGCGGCTCGGCCTCGGCGCGCACGGTGACGTAGAGGGCCTTGGCCACGGCGTAGAGCGTGCCTCCCGGCCTGTCCCGCAGCTCCGCCTCGGTCCAGATCTTGCGCCCCTCGGTGTTCAGCAGGCGCGCGGTGCACACGATCTCGGTGTCCACGGGCATGGGCTTGCGGTAGTCCACCTCCAGCCGCGCGGTGAAGGCGCGGCCGGGGCCCAGGCTGCCGTCCTTCTTCCCCTCGAATACCAGGCCGCCCGTGGTCTCGTCCAGCACGGCGGCCGAGAAGCCGCCGTGCGTGATGCGCGGGTGCCCTGCCACGTCCAGACCGAGGGCGATGATGGTGTGGAACTCGCGCCGGTCCGCGTTCCAGATGAAGTGGATGTCGCGGATGAGGTCCTGGCGCAGCATGGACAGGAACTGTGTGTGTAGGTGGGGTGGGTGGGGGTGGGGGTTAGCGTGGGGTCCCAGGCTTGGGGATCTCAGGTGCCTGAGGCGAGCTTATGAAGGGAAAGCAAGGACGGGGAGCGGCATGGAACACGAACTCAATGATAGAATCCCAGGAGAGGAACGTACTTGTGATACTCAAACCAATGCAGGACTTCATAGTCTGTCCTCGACCGCCCATCCCTCCAAACAAGGTACAACGCAGATACGCACCATGTGGTCGGGGTCGATGTCGCCACCGGAGGACGACATGGCCCCGACGCTCAGCACGGTGGTGGCGCCGGGGGCTTCTTGCAACTCCTGGACCCAGTCCAGAGCGGCCAGGCCGCCCGAGCTCAAGTATTCGGACGTGCGAGGGTGGTAGGAGGGCCCGGAGGACAGGGCCTTGTCGGAGCGCACGCGGTGCAGGATGCCGTCGGTGGTCGACATCGTGACTGCTTCGAGTCTGTGACGATGGGATTTATCGAGCGGTGCACACTACAACTTGGGTGTGACACAGGATGAATATCTCCCAACGTCAATCACCGAGGGTAGGTGTGGTGGACCCTGCAAAGGGAGGGTCGCGCGCGCCCCTAGCAGCTGTGATGAATACTCACAACGGGCAAGGTGGATACGTTATGACAATAAAAACCCGTTCCTCTCGATGGGAACCCCGTGATCGATCACTGCAAAGTAAGAAATAGGAGGGCAGCCACTTACGAAATGATCGCCGCTCGATGACAAACCACTGGTGCCCACGTGCAAATTCTTTGGCGACGTACCCACTATAGCGGTTCTACCACGCGCGAAAAGACTGCATAACTAATTACAATCATTTGAGTGGTATCACATTCTGGTGCTCCCAAAACCACTCTTGTTATCGTAGCCATGACTGAGGCAGCGTCCGCCCCCGTCGCCGGCGTGTTCGACCGCTCGTTGGACTGGATCGTGGCAAACAAGCTCAGGGTATGTTTCAACAGAGTATGCGAGAGCAATTTTGGTGCATGGGTTGTGCAGACACGTTGCTGTCCATGGCGGTCTTGCCTTACGTACCCTGGGCGCGAATCCCCGCAGGCCACCTTCTACACCTGGGCCGTCGGCGTCGGTGGCTCCCTTGTGAGTTGTTCGTATTTGGGTATATTGAGCAGTCGTCAGTAGCGGGACGGAGTGGAGGTTGCTGCCCGTTATGAAGGCGTTGCAAGCATCGTACCAGTTCGACTCAGCGGCGCCCCTTCCTCACCACCACAGGCCTACCAGTGGACCCGTCCCATCCCCACCAGCCTTAAGATCATTCACTCGTAAGTCTTGAAGGTCTTTATGACAGTGTTCTGGCTGCATTCAGTATTAATCTCTCCTCTAGCATGCACTCTTTCATAAGACCCTGCCCCCCTTGCATCCCCTCTCAGGCGTGTGTATGCTCAGGCGATCACCTTGGGCGCCCTGGCTGCAGTGGCTGGCATCGAGACATACCACCGCAGCGACAGTGCAGAGACAGAGGACAAGGCGTGAGGCGCCCAGGCTCTCCCCGGGCTTCCCAGGAACCTAAAGAACCTTTCCCATTGTGTACACTCCCTTCCACCGCCCTCTTGATCGAGCACTGGCCCCCTAGCACTGCCCCACCATTGTCACAGGATCAGACGCCTTCCTCAGCGCGGCCCCTTCTGAAAGCAGCCGCACCATGCTTCTTCCCAAGCATCTGCTCCCTGCCTCGTCACTGGATTGAGTTTCACCGTGTAACATTACCAAGATCGAGTGCGAGGACAGGAGCCGCAAAGGCGCAGACTGGGCGGCGGACCGGCGCTCGACACTGGGGGGTCCACTGGGACTCACCGGATCGGCCAGCTCTCAGGCGCAGCGCTGCCTCCGGCCCATCGCATCGAGCCGCGCGCTTCTTGATGTTTGGGGGTCACAAGAAGTAATCGGGCGTGCGACGAGTGACCTCCGGCTCGCCTCGCCGTGGTGCAGGGTCAAACTGCGAGAAGGTTTTCACCATGGTCTCGTCCACCTCCATGATTGCCGCCATGTTGCCGCACCTGGGGATGAGGAGGTGGCATGGTAAGGGTGGTTCCTGATCCTCACAGATCGCACCGTTGGGTGGGAAGACCGCATGTGCTCGGCAGCCCTTCCCACACATCTTTTGTCTCCCCTCATGACCACGACCGCCACTCCACCGACCTGTAGCAGTAGTTCGGCGCCGAGAAGATCGTGACCACGTTTTGATCGTGGCACCAGTTGTACCCCTCCATCACGAGCTGTGCAAGGAACAGAGGTAAGAAGGGGGGAGTAGAAGGGGGGGGGAACACAAAAAAACTGCCAACACAGCGGGAGGCTCCTCCCCAGGCTTCCAAACCACGCCTTGGATACAGGGACGCCCTGCATGCCACAGGCATGTTCTCGAGACCTCTCCTCCCAGATCCCAGCAATATCCGTCCCACCTGATGAGCGCGTGCCACCAGGCTCAGTCCATTGGCCTGGTTGAAGTGCTCACTGATGTCCTGGCCAAAGGTGTACCCTGCGCCGCGCGGCGAGATGCCCCACCCGCACCGGTCGTCGGGGTCGGACCAGAGCAGGTCGCACATGGGCCCCTCGTGGGGGACTTCCTGCACCCGGTCCAGGCCGCGGATGTGGTCCAGGGTGTCCAGGGTGGGGCTCAGCCCACCATGGAGGCAGAAAATCTGTTCCGAGGGGGAGGGGGGGTAGGGCAAGGTTACAGGAGACTCATGGAGAGCAGAGGATGTAGCGCTTCACAGCAGGACAGGGGCTGGCGCAAACCCAAAGAAGGATTCATGGATGCTAAATCGCAGACCTCTCGGTGATCTGAGACTGGCTCATAGGGGAGTGACCCCCCGGTGTGCCGGCTCTAAAAGCAGGGCCCCATGAAGGCCACTCCCGGCCTCCAAACCACCAGCATTCCCCGACCGCAGCAAGAATTGTACCTGGTTCTCCACGAGCGCAGTCAGGGGAAGGTAGTCAAAGAGGTCGGTGAAGTACTTCCAGACGTTGGCAGTGCCATACTTTCGCAGGCACTCGTCGTAGAAGCCGTAGACCTGGGTGATCTGCCTGCTCTCGTGGTTGCCGCGCAGGATGGTGATCCGGTCCCTGTACCGCACCTGCGTCGTGGAACCCATGCAGAGGGCGATGGGTGAGTGCCTGAAGAAGATGTTGCGATGACAATGGACCCCACCAAGCCCTAGATGATGGATAGGCTCCCCACGCCAAGGGCAGGAGCTGGCCCCTATTGCCAGCCACCGCCGACACCCCATCCCACACGACAACCTTAAGTGCGACTAGGAGCGAGGCCGTCTCCACAGAGTGATAGCCGCGGTCCACATAGTCGCCCATGAAGAGGTAGTTAGTGTCTGGGCAGTTCCCACCGATCCGGAACAGCTCCACCAGGTCCTGGAACTGGCCATGAATGTCGCCGCAAACCTAGGGTGCGGAGGGAGGACGGTTCGGCGGTGGTTTCCATGGGATGTGGCTGGACTTGCAACCACACACCCGGCAAGTGTGAGTGATCGCCAGTGGAGGAAGGTGCGTGTGACTTGTGCATCTCGCGGCATATCGTCGCCCAATGTACGCTTGCCATCAGAAAATAAAAGCTGCCTCATTATTCGCACCGTCACGGGGCATTTCACGGGCTGGACGTTGGACTCCTCGACGAAAATTCCCTGAGCCTTCACGCACAGAGCCTGGACCTCCGCCTCCGACAGCGGTTTGCACTGCAGGAGCTGATCTATTTGTGCATCGATGTCCTTGTAATGATCCAATGGCGGCGTCGCCATCCTGGGTGGCCGCCTCGGCCAGATATTCGACACAAAGGAGGGCAACCAGGACCGCCTGAGTACACCGCGGTTGGCGCTGGCGAGGTCAGGGGGATGCCTGCAATCTCCTGCGACGAGGTATCGGCCTCCGAGTGCCGCTCTGTGCCGTGTGTCGAAAAGTCTGACATGCTGGGCCCTTGCACCTCTCTTCCGCAAGGTCACCCTCCCCATCGATGTTTCCGTGTTTCCAGTTGGATCTTCGACTGCTCCGGCAGGGAGGGGTTCTGAGTGAATGCTGGGAGCATAGCACGCTGAGCATCTCCGCCAATCCCCCCTTAGAAGTGTATTCCATACGCTCAAGTGACGAAGGGAGGGACTCGCACCACTGCAAGGCGCCAGACTCGGTCACACCGCAAAGTGGGTGATTGTCGTGGTAGGGGGAGACTGGTCGTGGCCCTGTGACTCTTCTGACAGCCCCAAATCCTCATTTGGAGCTTGAATTGGGACAGGGCGCGACATGGAAGAGGAAGCGGGGTGAGTGCGGGCAGCAAGGGGTTTGGGCGCTGGGTGCCCGCGATGGTAGTGCCTGACCCTGTCAGCGCCAGGCTGGGAGCCCAGTGGGTACATTCCCCGTCATGTGTTTGTAGCTCGAAGAGTACTTGCACCCGTTGTACCAGCCGGCGCACGCACTGGACGGACGGAGGGGCGCGCTGTCGCCCGCGTCTGGCAGTCCTCTTCCCTGGCACCTGCCGCTCCCTCGCCCACCCTCTGCCCTCCCAACACACACACACACACACAGTCCCCGCTCGGGCGGCGGCGTGATCCAGGGCGATGCCAGCCTGGAGTTCGAGACGAGCAAGGGCGTGAGGGTGGTGTCCACCTTCGACGCCATGAACCTGAAGCAGGACCTCCTGCGCGGCGTCTACACCTACGGCTTTGAGAAGCCGTCCGCCATCCAGCAGCGTGCCATCCTGCCCATCATCTCGGGCCGGGACGTGATCGCCCAGGCGCAGTCCGGCACGGGGAAGACCAGCCTGATCGCCATCACCCTCTGTCAGATGCTGGACATCAACACGCGAGAGTGGGTTGGGGAACTTGGTTGTGGGGGTAGTTGTGCATGGCCAGAATTAGGGAGGGCGTGGGGCCCTGGGGGAAAAGGGGGGGAGGTAAAGGCGACGAGGAGGGGAGTGGGGTGCAGGCCCGACGTGCATGAGGAAGCTGAGAGCAGAGTGCGTGCTGGCCCTCCCTCGGATCAGCGATTGCCGAGCCCCCGTTCACGCCCCGCCCGAGCACCATTCACCGACCTCTTTCAGCATGTGCACACACTCTCCTCTGCACACACACATAAAACACACATTCAAGCCCCCCACACGCTCCTCCCTGCAGGGTGCAGGCGCTGGTGGTGTCGCCAACACGCGAGCTGGCCACACAGACGGAGAAGAACATCCTGGCCATCGGCGACTTCATGAATGTGCAGGCACACGCCTGCATCGGGGGCAAGTCCGTGGGCGAGGACATCCGGCGGCTGGAGGCGGGGGTGCACATCGTGTCTGGCACCCCGGGCCGCGTGTACGACATGATCAAGCGACGCAGCCTGCGCACGCGCGCCATCCGCACGCTGGTGCTGGACGAGGCGGACGAGATGCTGTCCAAGGGGTTCAAGGAGCAGATCTACGACGTGTACCGCTACCTCCCCCCCGAGACCCAGGTGGTGCTGGTGTCGGCCACACTGCCGCACGAGGTGCTGGAGATGACGCACAAGTTCATGACCGACCCGGTGCGCATCCTGGTCAAGCGCGATGAGCTGACGCTGGAGGGCATCAAGCAGTTCTTCGTGGCCGTGGAGCGGGAGGAGTGGAAGTTCGACACCCTCTGCGACCTCTACGACACCCTCACCATCACCCAGGCCGTCATTTTCTGCAACACCAAGCGCAAGGTGTGGGTGGGTGGTGGGTGTGTTGGAGTTTGGTCAGGGTTTTCCCGGCTGTGGCCGCCGCGCCTGGTCCCGCCACCAGTCTAGGGAGGCTCGGGACTGTTTACCCACCATTTCCATGCTCCTCCCTTCCGTGCTTAGCTCTCCTAACCCTAAGCCTACACAACATGACAGCTCCCAACGCACTCAAATCCCCCCCCCCTTCCCCCCAAAGGTGGATTGGCTGACGGACAAGATGCGACAGAACAACTTCACTGTTTCGGCCATGCATGGCGACATGCCGCAGAAGGAGCGCGACGCCATCATGGACGAGTTTCGCTCCGGCGCCACGCGCGTGCTCATCACCACCGACGTCTGGGCGCGGGGTCTGGACGTGCAGCAGGTGTCGCTGGTGATCAACTACGACCTGCCCAACAACCGCGAGCTCTACATCCACCGCATCGGGCGCAGCGGGCGGTTCGGGCGCAAGGGCGTGGCCATCAACTTCGTGAAGAATGATGACATCAAGATCCTGCGCGACATCGAGCAGTACTACGCCACGCAGGTGGACGAGATGCCCATGAACGTTGCAGACCTGATCTGAGATGGCGGGAATTCGATTGCTTGGGGGGGGGGGAGGAAGGGGCGCCTCCTCCCTGTCCACCCCTTCCCGGCATGCAAATGTCTGGCATCAATCACCACCCTGACCCACTCGCAAGGGACAAGGGGCTTACAGGGCAGGGAAAGCCAGGCAGGGGTTCAAGGGATGCAAGCAGTGCGGTTTGGGCATGATACGACTGGCTCGAATAACAGGGCAGGATCGAGGAGGGCCGGTGAAGGGTGCCTTGCGAGGGGCGGGTGCACTGGAGCGGGCACCCGGCGGCATCGCACGGCGAGGCTGGGGCATTTTTCTTGAAGGGGTGAGGGGCAGCACCATTACCATGCGGTCATCGAGGCAGTGCCGCCAGCTTCATAGAAGGGAGGGGCATAAAGGGAGTTACTACGATGGCCCCTCGCTCCTCTCCTTGCAGCACCAGTGCCGTGGGGGGAGTACTTCATTAACGCAGGCCTCCACGTGTGTGCCTTGTTGGGGAGTCGTTCAGGAGCTGCAGCAGCTGGCCACAGTAAACTCTGGTGCACTCTTTACCTGGTCTTCCAGGGGCTAGCGACACTACCAAAAGGGCTGGCCGCGCCGCCACAGCGAGTGGGGCTAGTGTGCACGGGGGGGCTAGTGTGCACGGGGCACCAGCTCTGCAGAGAGCCGTCACCAGGGGGGACCATGCGTGTGCTGGTCGGCATGCCGCGCCGACAGCCCCCCATACCGTCACTCCCCCTGAGATGAGGAGCTCAGCGCGGCGCGGCGCGCGCGGCAAGCGCCCCCCCGGCGCCGCCCATGATCGCGCCCGAGAACTCTGCGGTGCTGGGCAGCGCCGCCTCCAGGCCCATGGTGGGCCGGCGCTCCATGTAGGCCAGGGTGCCCTCCCGGATGCGTACGCCCGCATCCCGGAACTCCTGCACCACGGTGCGCGCCAGGTCGGGCCTGCCCCAGTCCACGCAGCCCTTGACCAGGACATAGCAGACATCGGGGCCAGGATGGCGCCCCCGCCGCTTCATCACCTCATACAGCTCGAACATGGCCAGCAGGTCGCCCTGCTTGGAGTAGTAGATGAGCAGGGGGGTGGCCTCCTTGGCCGAGTCAGCGGGCAGGCCGAACTCGGCTGAGTGCTCCAGCGCACGTGCCGCCACCTCGGGCACGCCCAGCTGCATGGCCTGGGACACCAGGGCCTTGGAGGTGCGGTGGGAGAAGGGCGCGTGCTGCTCCAGCGCGCCACGTGCCAAGTAGTTGAGCCGCGTCAGCTTCAGGGCACGGTCCAGCTCGTCTCCGGTGCGGCAGCGCTGATACAGCTCCTGCAGGTGGTGCTGCTTCACCGGCCCGGAGGCCTGGATGCGCGCCACCAGCAGCTTCAGCGCGTCCTGTGCGCTCAGCGATTCGTCGTTGTACCACTCGGTGGTGGAGCGGGA